GTGGTGCTGCAGAGCCGGCCCTGGAGATGCACGCACCGACAGAGTCGGGCCTTTGGGAAATCAGGGAATTATGGAGTGGTTTGAGGTGGGAAAACCAGCCAGATCCCAGCCCTACCATGGGCAGGGAGATTCCACCAGGCCAGGTGACTCAGAGTCACCGTCCAAGCCTTGCTGTCCCTGTCTCTGGCTCGGCCACCGTGGTGTCCACTCACTTTGGGATGGTCAAGCGCCTTCCAGGACCCCTCCTCGCACCCAAAAAAGTGCTGGGAGCTGCCCAGATGCTCAAGTTCTCCTAGCAAACCCATTCCCAGGAGCAGGAACAAGGCAGGTGTCACTGGGGGACACCGGTGTCCCCTCTCCTGCCACCGCCATGTCCCTGATAGGGCCAACCCTGGCTAGGTCTGGCCACTTAAAGGCAATTCCCAGGGAGTTCCAGCCTTGGAGCGGGGCGGACCCAGCGTCCATCCCAGGACGGGAATATGGGAGTGAGGGGACTGCAGGGTGTCCTGTCTCTCTCACAGCGACACAGGAGCCAAAGCTGGCGGCGACCGGGATGAAAATCCCCCACCCTCCCGTCCCTGCCGAGCTCATGGAGCAGCCTCCAAATCCCCTGGGAAGAGCCAGTGACGCCAAGGCCACCCGCAAGGGACCGTGAGCACCCAGCAGGGGACAAACCTCCCGTGATATCCCCCGGCATGCGGGAATTGTTCTCCCGGGATGCAGGAATTGTTCTCCCGTCTCATTCCCCCTTCCCAAGGATCCCTGCCGGGGCTCAGCGGGCTCCCCGCAGCGCCTTTCACTCCCAAATTCTACTGGAATGGCGGAACATTAAACACCCCCTCGCTCTGCAAACACAGAGTTCCACTGGGAACTTCCGAGACGGGACCCCACCGATCCCGCATGGCTTTGGGCAGGGGCACTGTGCCCGCTCACGGTGCCAGTCCGGATTCTCCGTGTGAAATCCTGGGATCGTGCCCGTTCCCAGCCCCAGGCGTCGCCTGCATCCCGCAAATTCCCACCCCGGAGCTGCGGCGGGACACAGAGCTGGGCCCGAGACTGCAGCTCCTCGGAGCTCAGCTGGCATCGCCCCGTGGCGCTGCCCTGCCAGGCGGATAGATCCTGCATGTCACTTGTCAGAACCCGGAGAGAAGGGAGAAATCCCATCTGGCCGGCCCTGGAAAAAGCAGCCGCCACTTTTTCCCACCTCGCTGGGTGTGATCGCGCCCACGCGCCCACATGGAGACGGGAGACGAGTTCACCTCCCAAAATCCCGGGGATCCAGTGCCAAGGGAAGGGCCGGCACACCTGGATGCTCCATTGGAGCTATGCAGCAAGGAGCAAGTCAAGGGAAAATGAGGGGCAGAGGGTGGTGGGAAGGGCAAATTCCAGCTGCGAGAGTTGGGAGAATCTTCCCAGTGCCCTCAGAAAGGCAAGGAAAGATGAGGGGCAGAGGGAAGGGCAAATTCCAGCTGGGAAAGCAGGGAAAAATCTTCCTGTTTCCCTTGGAAAGCCAAGGAAAGATAAGGGCAGAGGGAAGGAGAAAATCCAGCTGTAAGAGCCGGGAAAATCTTCCTGCTGCCCCTGGCTCCGTGTCCGGCCGCTGGCTGGAGACAGAGCCAGTGGCATTCCAGGCAGATGGAAAACATCCCTGCCCGGGGCAGAGCTGCGAGGAGGAAGAGGACGGAGCCCTGCGTGCCCTGGCAAGGGTGACATCCTCGGCTGGCAGGGCTGGGGATGTGCCAGCAGCTTGGGGACGTGGGATAAAAATAAAGGCGAGGCGAGGCTGGCCAGCTCCTGGCGGCTCCCACAGAAGGAGCTTTGTGGGCTCGTCCCCACCCCCGCGGCACAGCCGGGTCCTGGCAGCTGCCATGGGAATGGCCCGGGGGACCTCCCTTGGCACGGGGAAACTGAGGCACGGAAGGGAATGACACGAATCTGGCTGATGAGAGGGAAGGGGGTCAAAGCCGGGGTGGGAGCAGGGGAAAACACCATCGGAATTGAAAGGATCTTCCCAGGATTTTGGGTCCTGACAGGCTCCATGTGGGGCAGGCGAGGATGTGGGGCCGTGACTCAGCCGTGTCAGTTCTGCTGGGGAAGCAGAGCCAAGTCCCCCTGCCCCAGGCTGCTCCTGGGATGCTCCCAGGGATCCAGGGGCAGCCACAGCTGCTCAGGGAATTCCACCCCATCCCCTCCCTGCTCCATGACAGGAGGAATGGGAAGGAGCAGCAGAAGGGACTGTGACCCTCCAGCCTGGCCTGTGGCCACCAGCAGCTGCCAGGGCAAAGGCCAGAGCTGGGCACGGAGCCTTTGGCATCCCAAGTCTCTCTCCATGAGGGATGAATCCTCACAGGGAAGCCAGGAGGCGAGGGGCCCAAGCCAAGCCCAGGGCATTTCCCACCCTTTGCTCACAAGGCTGGATCTCCAGAGGGCTCAACCCCACCAGGAAGCACTTGGGGAGGGGATTTTTCCTGGCTCAGAGGCTTTGGGACCACGGCAATCCCACAGCCAGCTCCATCCTTGGCACAGGAGACCCAACTCGCCCAAATCTTGGCTCTGCCACCCCCAGGATGGGCTCGGAGCCCACCCTGGAGCTCAGCAGCTCCATCCACAGCACCGAGCCGCGATCCCGCACCCTCCAGGCAGGATTTGGGTGACACTGCCCCCTTGGGTGACTCCTGCTGGCAGCTGGGCACTGCCAGGCGTGGGAAAGGCCGGGTGGGTGTCCCGGGGAGGCCGGGAATGCTCCCGGCAGGGGTGTGGAGAGCAGCCCCTATTTTTGGGCGCACAGGTAGCACGTTAGTGCTTGGTCACCGCATGCCGTGCCAGCCCGGTTAGTCACAGCTCGTTAAAAATCAGAAAAGCTGAGAAAAAAATATCTCAGAGCCTCGGCTGAGGCCTCCGAGAGGCAGCAAAACGTGCTCAGGGATGGAAAACACGGGGTGAAATCCTACAAGGATTCGCTGTCAGCCCGAGCGGCCACGGGACTGGGACGCTGCGGGGACATGTGACACATCCCCCTGGCCGNAACGGGGGAATAACAGAGATGGGGACAGGGACAGGGAAATACAGGGGTGGGGACAGGGATGGGGATGGGGACAGGGAAATACAGGGATGGGGACAACACAGGGATATGGACATGGATATGGACAGGGAAATACAGGGATGGGGATAGGGATATGGACAGGGATAACACAGGCATATGGCCATGTTAATGGACATGGATATGGCCATGGATATGGACATGGAAATAGAGGGATGTGGACATGGATATGGATAGGGAAATACAGGGATAAGGACAGGGATAACACAGGGGTACACTCATGGAAACACACAAGGACACATGCAGGGATGTGCATACTTGGATGTGCACATGGATGTACACGGGGATTCGCACACAGCTGGATTCACACCTGGATTCCCACACTCCATCACTCCCCAGCACAGACCAGCGGGCTCCCCCTGTGCCCAGGCTCCGCAGGACCCCCTGTGGGACCCTGCTGCCACCTGTGCCCGGTGCCACCTGTGCCCACTGCCACCTGTGCCCCCTGCACGGCCCTCACAGCCCAGAGCCGACGGCGCCATCAGGAAAGGCAGAGGATTCCCAGGACCAACGGATTTTTGCCAGGCTGGAAGGAATGCTGACATTTCTGGAATGTCCCTTTTCACCTCTGGTGTTCCAAACTCCCTCAAATGTCTTTTTTTTTTTTTTTTCTTCCTTTTAATTGTTTTTTCTTTCTCTCTCTTTTAAACAGCAACGCCTGGGATTCTGAAATCCCTTCCAGGCTCCTCTGGAATACCAAAGTGATTTTCAAACATTCCAGGCAGGGCTGGATCTCAATGTCATTTAAAGGTTGGCACCTGAACTTCCCAGGATTTCTGGATTCATAATATTATTTACTGCCTGCCAAGGTAATGAAGGAAAAGAAGGGAGGAAAAGGAAAAAAAATGGAGTTTGGTAGGATTCTGGGGTGTTTGGCTGGGGAATGAGCTGCAACCAAGCCCAAAAATCCAGGTTGGGTTTGGGAATAAAGGAGATAATTCCCAAATCCAGATCATTCCTACACCTATAAAAATCCTTAGCAGCTTATCAGACCTGAGCCAACCCCAGCTGGATTTTTTCCCCTTTTTTTTTTTTTTTTTTTTTTTTTTTTTTTTTTTTTGTTTTTGTTTCTGCTGCTTATTTAAAAAAAGGAAAGTCTTTAAATCCCTGTAATAATAGGGGAAAAATCCCATTTATTTACTGGGAAGCAGCGCTCCGTGCCTGG